CATCCTCCGCTTCATCTCCCCCTGCGCTCAGCTTTGTCCCTCTACCTGAGTGCTGAGAGTGCCTCAAGGCCTCCACCAGGTGCCTGAGCCTGCGGCTGCTCCTCCTGGGAGGGCACTGCCCCAAGGGCCAGCGTTATACCTTCTTCCCTTAGCAGGTATTCATTGTGGCCTCTGTGGGTGGCTTTGGGGTGTTTGGTCGTGTGTGGAAGTGGTGGTATTTCTGCTGGAAAGGAACTGTGCAGCCTAACCAGAGCAAACATGGGGGTGGGTGGTTGCTATGCGATCCCTGAGGCTTTCGTTAAAAGCCGTATCCAAAATGCAGCAGGACCCACGTCCACTGCCTCAGTGAGGTTATTTGAAAAGTCGTTCTCCACCACGTGATCATTTTACTATTTGCTTTTTAAATGTGTGATTGGTGTTTGAACTCCTGTCTGTTTTCAAAGGCTGTATTTAGGGTAATACGAAGCAGAAAATAAGCGTTTTTGACCATTTCCCAACCCATTTGTCGCTTCCTAAAGGTCGCTTTTCTAGGTTCTTTGATGGTCAAATGTTGACTTTGTAGGTTCTGCAATTGGTATGTCCTAGCATTGACAGTTGTAAGGTAACTGCTGGTAGTGCTTACCTAATGAGTGGCTGTTACCTGGCATTTAGACTGGGGAAAGACATTCAATTGCTAAGTTTTAAGCAGAGTGTTGTCTGAAATACATTTGCCATAATAAGGTGCAGTCAGCTGTTTGTTCTTCATAAGGAAAGCTCCAAGGTTTATGCCTGTGCTGGAGTTTTGTTTTTTTAATTTCCTAGTCAGTTTACTCATACATGCATAGTAGCAATAGCACATGGTTCCTAAATGTTTGCCTTTTGGAGGCAATATTTGTAAAAGAGAGTTTACCCTCTTTTTTTTTTTTTAATGAGGATGTTCCTGACGAACTTCTTACAAAGCAAAATATTACCTTGTTGTATTTTTTTTTCTAGTTGTCTTCTATAAATGAAGAGGGGGGGGGGGGGGAACAACTAAACCTGAATATAATTATTTAAAATCAGTTGTCATATAATGACTTTGCAATAGATTATGTATCTCTTGCCATCTTTTGAAGTCTTTTTTCCTTATGTTACACTTAAACTTCATGGAAAGATTAATGTTTGCGTTAATGCCTTTTAAAAACCAGTTACTTTAAGTGGTAACACAAGCACATCCAATACACCTGACAGCACAGATAAACTTTCCTGTGTATTAAGTAAAAGCATTATGAGGTTTTGTTTTTCCATCCTGCATTTTTGCTGTCTGCTTGTGGCTTCTATTTGAAAAGCAGATCTGGGTACAGTTCAGCACTCGAGATGCCCTTATTTCCATTCTGACTGACAATTCTGAAGAATTAACAATGACAATATTAACCAAAAGGAGAACTAAATGATGTCTATGTAATAAGGCAAGTGAACACTAATAACAGATGTATTCCTGTTTGTTTTGTTTCTTTTTTTTAATCATTTTGATAGCACAGGAATAGCTGATGTTCTTCTTGAGCTTGGGTTTAGGGGCTTAAATTTTTGTTTTTGAGGGGAAAAAAAAAAAAGGAGGCAACTCAGAGTTTAGTTTAAGAAAATAAGGAATAGTTTAAAATCTTAGCAAAATGAAAGTATGTCATTAAAAATTAAGGAAGACTTGTTGCTGACTTGTTGCTGTGTTGCATGTGGTGACAGCCTATCCCAAATGTCTGCCAGCAAACAGAACTCCACTGAGTCTCAGCATGTCCCCTATTAAGCCATTGCATCTCTGAAAGTAATAAAGCTCATTAATGGCTTTCTGCTGTGAAACAATAAACAATATATTCACAGATTGGTCAATAATTAGTGCCAACTAGCTTTTGTCCTTCATTACAGAAGTATTCTGACTCAATTATTCTAGAACTAAAAGAAACTTATTTAAAAAAAAATCCTTTTGTATTCACTATTCACATAGGTGGGGTTTTTTTTTGTTGTTTTTTGTTTTTACAATGCAGCAATCTCCTTTTATATGAGAATTCTAATGCCTCTTCAGCCCACTAAACTTGAGAAAGTGACTTCATTGCGTAGTCCTCTACTTCTTATTTAAACAGTTCATTTCAGTGACTCCATAGCCCCCAAGACTATGAGGCATTAATATCACAGTTGTCCTCTTGTCATTTTTGGTTTTATGAAATGAGAATTTTGATAGTGAGAAGCAGAAGACTTACATACACATGTATAGTAAATAACAGAAAAAGATAAGCAATCATTCTTCTCACTTCTCTCTCTCATCCACCTCTTTTCTTGAGAGATCTACTTTATTTTATTTTATTTTCCCTCTGAAGCCCTATTGTGTGTATTTATAAGACATCCAAGAAATCTGTGACTCTCTAATCAGTGTGTCCAGGACCAGAAAGGAAATAAATCAGCCAGCACAAAAAATAAAAATAATAATTAAAAAAATAATAATTTAAAAGATCTTTTAATTGGTGCACTACCTCTGGAACATTTGATCTGTATGGTCATGTTATGCAGTGTATCTGACTTATTTTAAGCAAAGCTGTTCATGCTTCCATCTTGTCTTCCTGTACTGTTCCTTTTCTGTTGTGTCTCAATCACTCTTAAGCCAAAACATTTCTTGTAAAATTTTGTTAGCTGGCTTTAATGGTTTTTACTCTTGCAAACTTTGAAAAGTTACTAAATCTAACTTAAAATATATATGATATTTTTACTGATATTATGGTAGAAATTACATTTTTTTGAGATGTGGTTCATAAGTTCCAGCTATTACAAACTTCATAGTTGAAGGGCTGTGTGTATTCTATCCTATTTCTGCCACAGATCCCACAGAGACTGCCCATGACTTGTTTTGTGACTTTCAGAGGAACCATTTGATTGCATTAACATGCTTCAGTTCTTATAGGATCCAAGTCCAGGTGAAAATCTTGCTGGTAGGGATACTTGCCAGCATTCTGGGATCCTTGTGAGGGAGAGAAGGAGGTGATGTTTTTGCAGATTTCCCTCTACCAGTTACTTTTCTCCCAGACAAAACTAGAAACTAAAATGCCATTGATCATACGTCAAAGGGAAAAAAAGGAAAAATTAGTAGAATCTAGGGGATCTGAATGAATTGCTTTGGTGTTTTGCCATTCAGAAAGTAATTCATTGCAATAAAACTTGTGTTGTCATTTAATCATGTACGCATTCTCTTGAACATTGAACATCTTGCTTATGTAATTACATTGTCAAACTGTTCCATGCAAAAAAAAATAAATCTGAGACTTGAAAACTGAAGATCTTCAACAGTAACACTACTACACTGTTGATCTGCATCAGAAAATACCCTGAGTGGCAAAAGCAGATGGTGGTTCAGTGTTTTAGGAGGAGACGCAGGTGGGAATCACCGTGCAGCAGTGTATGTGGCAAAATTTACTTTTGGATAGGAAAAACTTCAAACTTGCATTTCACTATACTGAACTGCTGCTTGATTTTTTTCACCCTTCATTATTCTTTTGAAGCTGTTGTTTCTGTGTATTTAATTTCCAGTGTGTTGGATCCTCTTTGCAAGTCCCAGATAAAGATTTTGGTTAAGTGTTGCTTGATGGATTGCTATATAATACTTGCTGAGAAGACAATTGTTACTTGTAGAAAATTAACAGTGATAGCCATGCAATCAAAGTTTAAATGCGCTCTGTTCAGAAGCAGGATGATAGGAACAGCAAAGTGTGGAGCCAAACAAAAAACTGCTAAGTCCCCCTCCCTGGAAGCATTCAGAGGGCAGCAAATACCACTGATAAACAAGGAGGGATGGCAGGACTTATAAAATCTAGTGTACATACAAGAAAATGCTACTTTTACATATTCTTAAGTTAAAATGCTTGAATCTAATTCGAGGTTCAGTTTTTTTCTTCAGTGAGTGGTGTCTGAAGTTCCTTCTGCTTTCTGCACTGTTCAAGTCAGCAAGGGAAGCAGCTGCTTATGTGCATTTCTGGAGCAAACAAGAGCGTACCACCAAAATGCCAGTGAATTAACCAAGAATCACCCTGGGAAAACATCAACAAAAGTAGAATTAGTAGTTGAGAAATACGTATGAGTATGGCAGGAGCTGTGATGGCTGTTGCTGCTGGACACTGCTGCGTGAAGTGGTCCCAGCAAGGTGTTTGATATGTGTAAGTGAGGTGTAAGAGCTATGTAAGCGCATTGCAGATCTTACCTGGATGTAGCAGATCTTCTGAGCCATCCCTGACATTGGCAGGTAGCCTGTGGTGAGGATGTGTTCTTACTGAGAGGTACTTTAAGAGGCACTTTGAAGGACACACGTGCAAGACGAGTATGAGAAATTTGGTTACCTTCTGCAGGCCATTGGTTGTGTGGATGGTTTTCTGTGCATAGGCTCTTGTAGATAAGTACTTTCAAGAGTGTCAGAGTAACTACTTCTGGTTGGTTGCTTCAAATTTGTCTGTGAAAATTCATTTCTGTCAGGCAGGGAGTCAGATTTCCTTATGATACTTTTTATTAGTAGCACTCTGGAAATCCTAGCTCATAGTGTCATGGGGTTCTGCATCAATATTGCTATATATGTGCGTGATTAACAGATGAGTAGGTAGTTATACATTTTATGGCTAAAAAGAGGAATTTTCTGACTTATTCTATAGCAAAATATGAGAAAATATAGAGGTAACAGCACTAGGAGAGTAGTGAGTTTCACTCAGTGGAGTGTGAGCACTGTGAGCACTTCTGTGCTACCATTTAGGGAAGAGTATATCTGAGAGCAAAGTTAGCTAGTGTGCTGGTTTCATTTTCTTAAACTGTTTGTCACTAGTTGATCAGGTGGGAAAAGTTAAGAAAAGATGCATCCTTGTTGGTAGTGATGGTTGAAATAAACCTCTACCTACTGCCCTGCCAGAATCTGCTCAGAGTCTTGCATTGGTGCCTCTGGCATTTTTGGTTTCTATAAGTATGATGGTCATTTGTGCTTAAGGGTTTGTTGTGAACATATGACTGTTTTTGCATGGCAGGTCACAGTAATGAAAGGCAGTAGTAGGAATAAGGATCATTCGACAGAAGGAGAAGGAACTGGGAAACGACCAAAAAGAAAGTGTCTTCAGTGGCATCCCCTGCTTGCCAAGAAACTCCTTGACTTTTCTGAAGAGGAGGAGGAAGAAGAGGAGGAGGAAGATATTGATAAGGTAGACTTCATTGGATACTTGGACTGTAGAAGGTGAATGATGGGTCAGACTCACCTCAGCAGTGTTTTTATTTTATTTCTTGCTGTTCTCTTTCCAAGCTAACCCAGTCAATTAAAAAGATAAATAAGGTGATAGCATGCACATAATGCTGTAATGAGAAGTAGCAAATAACAAGAAAATGTGGATTGTCAGTCATTATTTGAAAATTTTTGACAAACCCCTGTTTTGTAGAGTTAGTTTAGTAGTTTTAATCGTTACTTTAATAGCATATTGCACATCTTGGTCTTGATTGCTTAAGGTTGTTCTTATGATGTATTTTTAATTGTTTATAGACATAGTGTTAGCTGGTGCCAAATATCTGTCTCCTGTGACTTTGAGGACATACCAAGCAATAATACTCTTATTATTCCTAAAATCTGAAAGATTGGAAAGGAAAAAGAAGGAAAGGCTGACAGAAATTTATGCTATCTTTGTGTAAGAAGTTCAACGTCTCTTCTGGAATATTGTGAGCACAAGTGGAATAATCTCCCTGTTCTGACACTTGATACTTTGATGTTGTTTAATGATATTAGATGCAACCTTCTTTCATAAAGACCCACCCCTCTGTGTCATCTCACAGATGTACACTTAGAGTCAACCTCTGTAATGAGAAGTGGGTGTGGGAGAAGTGGTGTTGGTTTTGAAGACACGATATTTCCATCGTGTGGATAATGTTCGTATTGGCATCTCCTTGATGCCCTGCTAAGACAAGATTGAGAGATCAGTGCTGAGAAGGCATACTGGAAAGGACGAGTGGTTCTTGATGAGTATAAGGAGCAACTAGAAGGGGGCTGTGCTGTCTATTGACCTCATGGGTTGCCTTCCACTATGTAGTATAAAATAGCAATGTTGTGGTTAGGTAGGTTGTGGCTTTCTGTCCAGTAATAACTTAGTTAAGTTATACCTAGCTTTATGTGGTGTGGCTGTTGTGTGAATAGTATGTTGGTCTCTGAGCTGAGTGAGTACATTTTGGTAATGGATTCTGTTGAGAATTGCCCTCTGGCAGTGACTGGGGTGCAATGCAGTGGTTGTAGTGCAGTACAGCCCACAAGCTGGGAAATGAACATCAGGAGCTGCGGAAGCAACTGGTACCTGTGTGCTCTTGTTCCTGTGGACTTTGTCATTGTGAACACATGTCACTGAAGTACAAGGCAACTCAGCTCACTTAGTGAGAAAAGACAAAGATGATATCTAGTATGCAGGAAACAGGTGTAGGGAGGATTATCCTCCTTTTATCCCCTTTAGAGTGGTTGTTAGAGAATAGTCCTCACCGTAGAAATCTGCTCCATTTGCAAATCAGCGCTTAAGTCTTGAATGAACCTCGGGCCTTTGGGCAAAGTCTGATATGGAATTCCTGATCTTCTAGGTGGAATGGATGGCCTTTAGAGACATGCGTACAAGTCTATATGTGTCTTCCTCGTTCAGACAGAGCATAAACTCAGTCTCTGAGAAGCATGAATAACCATGTCTACATCCCTTTCCTTTGGTTCTATTAGGTGCCACTCCTTGGCGCTGATGGTTTAGAGCAGGATGCTGATGAAACCGAAGACGACGAGTCCTCAGAGCAACGAGCTCGCCGACCAATGAATGCATTTCTCTTGTTCTGCAAACGCCATCGCTCTCTGGTGCGGAAAGAACATCCTCGCCTCGATAACCGTGGCGCAACCAAAATCTTGGCAGATTGGTGGGCTGTTCTAGATCCAAAAGAGAAGCAGAAATACACTGACATGGCCAAGGAGGTAGGTTCTACGTGAATGGATGACGCAAAGGGAGCTTATACATGGTTATCTGTCTTACATTTCTTAGTGTATTAAAAACTTTTGGTGGGGTCTTTCTCTTCTCTGAACTCCTTAGCTTACCTAATGAGATTATGGTACCCAGAACCAAGTTGTTCTCGCTTTGATTCTCTTGGTCTTGCAGACCAGAAAGGAAGTAAAGAAGTCTGTGTGTGCATACTTGTATGGCTCTCGTGATCATTTGAGCAAAGCACGTGCCTTTTGTGGTAGATAAAAACTGATAATCCCAGCAGTGCAAACACTTATATGATAGATTGTGGCTTTTGAAAACACTAAATTATACAGTTCTTGTCAATTGACTGTAATGGTACTTACATCATGCTGCGCATTTGCTATCAATAATATAGCTCGACCAAACCAAAAGTATAGTGAACAAATTCAGTCCTTTTTTACTTTTAAAATTAGTCTAACTACTAAGTACTTCCTAGGTTAAGTACTCTCCCTTTATATTGGTAATAGAGTGTGCAAGTTACTTTGGCTAATAATATTGCTCTGAAAGAGACTGCAGTAGTGATTGATATGTGTGATGCAGATTTTGTGTAACCATTGAATTCAATCTTAAAAAAAACAACAGAGGGACAGGGAGTAGGAAGAACTTCTCTCATTTGCTGAGTATTGTTAGGATACTTCAAGAAGTACAGATAGCTGTGAAACAGTTGGGGAAACATAGCCTGTGTGTCTTCCATGTCACCTGAACTTGACTACTGTTATTAACACGTGTATGTAAGATCCGGACATTGAGTAGTTTGTGTGAACGTGGAAGGGCCAACAAGAACAGCCAAGTATTCTGCAAAAGGGTCCTTTTTAAAGCATAAGGTGGGGTATGACACGGTGTTTAAAAACTTGAGTCTCAGCTTTGTCCAACCGTTCCTGATGTGTTCTGCATTCCCACTTACAGATTAGTGATGCTTCTTGAAATGTGTGGAAAAAGGGCAATTAGGAGACTTGGTGCAGATACAGAGAGAGGAAAAATAAAAACGAAGAAAGTGGGTTTTTTGGAAGAGACAAACCTGATGTGACTGTTTATTTAGTCTTTTGTCTTGCTGAAGGAAACTCATTCATTAAGAAGAAAAATAATTGCAGAACGTCTGTATGAAGTGACACATTTGAAGCTATTAATCATACTGTTGAAAAAATCATTGTTTCTATAGTAATTTATTTATTTCTTCTGGCACAGACCAAAATGCATGTTCAACATCAAAGAGAAACAATAAATCTTCAGAAGTTCAGATCACTACCATTAGTTCCAAGAATATGTAGAACAAAAACAATGTATAATTTCTATTCCTTAAATAGTTGTCTTACAACAATAATTAGAAGCTATAATATGGCACTGAAATTATCTTTGCAAACAAGCCTCTTCTGTGTGTGGATCACTTGTTTAATGCTCATTCTTATAGTTAGGTTTACTGTTGAGACTGTTTGAAAGGTGCTAATATCAATTCTAGAGAGAGCCATGTATTGATATTTTTTTTCCTAAGAAGAGTGTATTTAAAAGTCAACAAGTTGAGTGCCTTTGGAATGACTTCAAAGTACTGTTGTAATTTTCTATTTAAGGACGTACATATACTGACAAGACACATTTAGGTAAAGTAAGCTCATTCACTGTACTTTAAACTTCAGTGAGCTTATATATGTGCATATATGTGTGTGTGTGTATATCTATATATGAATTGCAATGATTACAACTTCTGTTGGATTATAAACTTGAGAATGGTTTTATTACTTGAAGCCAGAGTTTATAAAACCAGTTAAATCAGGTCTAGCATCTAGTAAGCAGCTTTGTTCATCACTCGTGTAGTACCAGCAACTGATACTATCTCAGCAATATGCAAATCAAAGTATAGCTGCCTTGGCACAGGAGAAGACAAATGCCTGGTTTTCCCTGCTGCAGCCTGTGAGCTCACCAATGAGCTCACTGGGTAACCCAACACTCTTCAGGAATTAAGGACAGTGTAGTATTTTGAGGGATTTTTTTTTATTTCTTTGTTTGTTTAGGTAGATCTCTAGTATGATTTTTACTAATTTATTTTTTCGTAGAAAGTTGGTGGTATTTAAACATATATTCAACATTTAGAATATGGTGACTGGTGCCCAGAGGTGTACCTTGAATCTGCTCAGTGAGCTTCTGAAGAAGCAAACTTTTTATTTGGTGATGAGAGCAGCTCAGGGAAGTTACATTTAAGTGCAACATCCTTTCTGACCTTGGCTCTGAAGTGGCATCTGTCCTACCACATAATGCATCCTTCCCCAAGCTTTCACAGAGAGGAATGATGCATCATACCAAGCTCACAAACGTATCCTTTTTTTTTTTGAATTATTATTACTCTACCTTAGATTTCAGGACATGACTCTACAGGGCAGTCCTGAAGGCACTCCTATGCCACTCTGCCTGGGAACAAATGTGATGTCTTTACTTTCCAGAATAAGGAAATTTCTTCTTCTATCTTTTTCTATCTTTTTTTTTTTTTTTTTTTTTTTTTTTTTTAAAGTGACTGTAGAGACTTCCTTAGGCCACTGTGTTAAATTGGTTTACTGCACAGTTGGTTGAATGGAGGAAAAGAGTAAGCTCTCCTATTGCCTTAGGCTGTTTCTTGTTCTTGTGTAGCTCATTTAAGTTATCTCATGACCTGCCAAGCAGAATCTATCACTTCTTCTTAGGACTTGGTCTAATAGTCACGACAATCAATACTGAAAGTCTGCCAGAGGTTTGGACCAGGCATAAGCCTTTTATAAAACTGCTTCTTGGTTCTTGTTTAACTTTTACATTTATTTATTTTCCTTTTATCACAAGTGTTGAAATTCTGAAAGTAGCCACTAAGTTGTTCTCCCTGGCTCCTGAATGGGGTTTCAAGAGTGCTGTTAACATTAACTTTTTGGCTTTGCAGAGGCAAAAATCCATTAATACACTATGTCATTTGTATTGCCCTTGTTGGAAACTGATTAAAAGCTTATTGCTGCTTCGTCTTACAAATGGTGTGAATTATGGTCCTCATTTGATGGGCAGCCTGTCGAATTAATCTGTAGAATAATTCAATTATTTAGAGCAGCAATGCTGATACAAAGAGCTTACGCACTTCATCGCTAGAGGTTCTGTGCTTTTAACTCAGCAGGCTGGAAACATGATTCATGAGTGGGCTGGAGCTTTAACAATGGAAGGCAAAAGCTTTCTTTGTGCGTTTCCTTTCCACCTCTTTCCTTATCCCCTCCCCTTCCCTTCCCTGGTGAGGCTATTTCTGTGGTCTGCATTCACTGGTGAAATGAACTCTCAAACCAAACTGAGGAGTAGGGAAAAGGGGTGAGGTGAGAGGTGCCACGGGCCTTCATCTGCAGATTTAGTACATCTTCCCTGTTCAGAAAATACAAGGTGTATGTGGGTCAGCAGCCCCTGCAGATTTTTATTATTTATAGCCACTTCTATAAATACTGGACTTGACACAGTAGGTTCACACAGTGCCGTGCTGCTTGTAAATTGGATCATTTTTATCCTTGCTACAGTCTGGAGGTAGAGAGTGCCAGCTGACAGTGTAAGATGGAAGTGAAAGTAAGAGAGATGCACGTGTGGCAGGGAGGCTGCCACAAGGCACGGTGCTGTGTGTTGAGCTGGGAAAGTATGGCAGTGACTCTACTAGAGGACAGGGCTCTGAGTGCTCTTTCTGTTTTGATACCAGAGGGAGTTTTTTCCCCTCTGTGCGAGTTCCTGTGCATGTATGTGTGTGAAACATAGGTGCTTTTCTGTGGTAGAATTGGGATTGCGGACAGCTGGGTAGGAGGGAGCATGTGTCATCACAGCAGCAGCTCTTTGCAGCTGCCCTGGCATATAGCCAAAGAACTCACTTCGTTGCTTGTAGCCGTCAAGACCAGACTTACCTAATAATGGTTTGGGAGGAATTCAGCCCCTTCTCCCTGCAGTGAGCCCTGGTTCATGCTTGGCAGCGTGCCTCCGACAGCAGCAAGTGCTCCAAGTCACTATCGCTCGTTAGGCAAACATTTGCAGCTGGAATGTTTGGCATGTTCCTCTGATTCGTCTGTTTTCTACCTTGCAGGTCAGCAAATTTGAAATACTGAAGTGTGCTCATCTTACTGCTGTTAATATTTAATTTAAAAAAAAAAAAAAAAAATTCTTTCCTGGGCAGTAAGATACTTGGAAAATGTCACTTCTGTGTTTGAAAATAGAATAGATCCCCATCCTCCCCGTTATTACCTCCCCCAGCCAACCTCTGTAGGATCTGAGTCTTACTTCTCCATGTGTAGTCTTGCTAAGGTTGTTTTGCTGCCTCATACCAAGAAGACAGCAAACAACTAAGATACGTGGTCAAGGCCAAAGGAAATTTTAAATGGTCCTACTTCGTTTTATTGCAGTCACACAGGATTGTTTTGGAGAGAAGGCTGGGGTGACTTATCAGGAGTTACTGAAAAAGAGAAAATACTGGTAGCAGTTTATTTTCAAATGAACGTGCTGGGCTTGGAAAAGAATTTACTTCAAATATTTTAAAATATCAACTTGTTAGAGAACAAGTGCGAAGAGACATTACACTGCATTTATTGCCAAGTGAATGTTTTCATTTCATTCAAACTAGAAAATAAACAGACTGTACCTGAAAAAGAATTCAGAAGCTATCTTCTCTCTCAGAGAAGATCTCTCTCTTTTTCTCTCTCAGACAGTGAGAATACAAGCCCCAGGGAGCTGTTTGCAGGATCAGAACTTAGGCCTGATGTGCATAATAAGCCCTCAGGAAAGTAAAGAGAAGAGTGACTTTTTTTAAAATATGACTTTGCTTATCTTCTTGTTAGACTATGTTGGTGGTTGGACTTTTAAGCACACAGTTAAAAAATCAAGGCATTTAAGGATTATTTATTGAACCCTCTTACAGGCAGTGTACTCTGCTGCCCTGTAGTTAGTGTCATGATCAGTAATTTTTTCTTTTCTTTACTTTTCTAGTACAAGGATGCATTTATGAAGGCAAATCCAGGGTACAAGTGGTGCCCCACAACAAACAAACCTGTGAAAACCCAGACATCCACTGTTACAAGCAGGAAGAAGCTGTGGGCCTTCCCTTCAGACTCTGCGAAAGATATACCAAGCCCGAGGAAAGTGACAAAAAGTGAAGAAATGCCACAGCTTAACTTTGGGATGGCAGGTGAGACTTCTGTCTTGGGAGGTTTCTCATAGGTGAACATCCTTATTTTGTTTGAGGACTTGACATTGAGACCCACAAATATGTTTCAGATGTCCCCAGATTAGGTTGCTAAGACTGTATTTAAACTTCTGCGTAACAACTTTGTACCATTTTCTATCCTTTTTTTTTTTTTTTTTTTTTTAGAGTCAAGTCCAGGTATATATGACATCTTTTAAGGTGTGGTCATTTGGAGTCCAGATGTGATTAATTCTTTAGCTCAGGATTGTCTGCTATTAGAACTAGAGATGTTCATTTTCTAGTTCTTGTGGATGGCTGCTCCTGAGGAACTAAGTTGTCTGTATTTAAAGCAAGAAAAGTATGATTTCATTTTACTTACAAAATAAGAAGTTTAAACGAAAGGCAGTACAGTTGGAGAGCTTGTGTTGGTGAAGAGCAGATAATCTCTTGCTGATATCCACAACTGGCAGAAACTGTTGCAGTCGTGACCTTTAAGTATAGATATATTAATGTTCTTAAATACTAGCAGCTTAAGAACTGAGTGAAAAATTATTCCCTCACACCTTTCCTCTTTAAAGTTTCTCATTTTATAAATGTCGATGCACTACAGACTTTTCTGTATCCTACCTAGTTTACGATGATTGTGTGACAGGATTTTTCTGCTTAGTGACGTCATGTGCTAGAGAAGGGAAAATGATTCTGTGGAACGAGTAGGGAAAAAAAGGGATAAGAAGACTTTTATACTTTTTTTGCCAGTTTAGTGGTATGAAATTTCCTGTAATGAAATTCCTCCTGGCCGCAACGAAACTGTGAAATGTAATTCACAATACTTTTTCATGGCACATAGTTACATATGAGAGATCAGTTCTGAAACCTGCAAGCTCCTCATCCCATTCTGCTTTGGCTAGCAGAGAGGCATAATTTATTTTCATTACAGGTTCATTGACTTAACTGGAAGAACAAGCAGTAACTCTTGGTCTGCCCAGCTGCTGTCCCTCACTTGATAGGAGAGATCTTTAATCAACATCTGACAGAGAACTTAAGAATTAATTAGAAAGTAACCCATTTAATCTATGGAAACATTCAGTTCTGAAGAAGGCCCTATTTTGTTTTGATGTGATTTTTTTATTTTTTTTTTTTAAATTCCTTCACTTCAAACTGAGTAAGCGAGTATAGTGATTCATGGGGGTCTTGCTCCAGTCCCCATGCCAATGAATTCTGGCTATTTCATGAGAATAGCAGTAGCCCATGAATTAATGACTGCTTCTGTCAGAGATGTAGCAGCATCTAAATCACAACAGATCTGTCACACCAAATGGATTATAAGTGTCATGGTAACCATGTTTTGTGTTCTTTCCTCAGATCCATGTGATAGTTTAGTTCAAATCTGAACTGCTGAGTCTAGGACTTCCTCTTTTAAAATCCAGGCTGTGTGCTGGCTGATTAACTAAAATGCAGTTGAATGACCGTAGAAATACCTTTATCTCTGAAATGCTGCTGGCTTGACTGTTTTGCATCTTCAAGGCAGATCGGTTCATTAGGACAAGGATTATATGACAATCCACAGTCATTCCAGGAAACCTGCCTTACTTGTTTGCAACTGTAAATCCTTTTTTGATTTATTTTTGCTTGTTATGTTTTCCAAAATTAAATGAAATATGTCCCCCTGCTGGCCGTCTCTCCTCTTACCTGCTATGTAACAGCATCACTGGGCTTCTGATCTGCAGCATCATTAGTGGTGTCCTTGCTTGTCCATCCTGTGAGTTGCATTTGAGCGTGCTTTTGTCATGGCATGGCTCTCTTGTGTTCTGTTTGAGGACATAAGGCAAAGACAGCTGTTGTTCTCAAGTGAAGGTGTCCATTACAACATCTTCTGTCACAACTACAGAGCTAAAGTGGGCAACATCTTTCCTGGAGAGAAGTGGAGGATTTCCAATGCTTTTACATTTCTGTCTCAGAAGAAGACACTCCCTAGAATAGCCAATGTCGTGATAGAGATGCAAGTTGTATTCTTTAGAAAGAAGCTTAATTCTGAAGTCAGGTGAAAGTTAATTGAAACTCTTACTTGATGATTCTTTGCACTTAGCTCTTTCTCAGTTCTTTCTTCTTCTCAGACTGAAAAATGGTGATGTTGAATAAGCTAGCCTTCTAAGTTTCTAACCAGACTAATACAAAGAAAACATATAATTTCCATACAGTGAGATGGTGTAAGCTTAATCACTGCTGAAAGCTGTTGAGGAAGCCACAAATCACTTCCTATTCTGCAAGTCAGATGTGTATGCTATTTTCTCGTAACTGTTGATTTAACTATAAAGTACTTTAAAGTAGCACTTAGAATTCTTCCTCTTTCATGCTAGTAAGTTCTTAGTGCTATAAGAGAAACATTGTGCTGAGAAAGCTCTATAAGCACATGGCACTGTTTGTGTGTATACCTTTTTGTCTTCCATTATGTGAAGTTATTTTGTAATTTCAAACCTAAGTGAAAGATCAATTAAATGCTAGCCCTTTGCTCCAGCTGCAGCATAAATATTCAATTTGCTTGAGCACAAAATTAAATGTTCACTTTACACTAAGCTGTCATTTTTTTTTCTCCTCATGATTTTTAGTTTTAAATGAACACTTCAAGTATTTGCTTACTTGAAGGAAGTGGGGAAAAATAGATCTAAAAAATAGATCTATCCTTGTCCTTGTGTTAGACTACTTATTTGATTAGCAGAAATCTGAGACCACATACTCAGCAAAGAAGATATTTAAGAAGTAGGGGAAGAATTTTAGAGCTGTACACTAGTTCTTCAGTTGGCTGAAACTGAGGAGGAAGACCTAAGGCAACTAGGGTGAAACTCAAGAGAGCAGCTATGGATGATCAGTGTGATGTGGGCATAAGGCAGTGCTGTACTGCAGTATGTCAGGCAAAGCATTTTCAGGAACAGTAGAGGGAAAACTAATGCTGTTGAACAGACCACAGGTGAGAGCTCATCTGACATGGTTGCCCTGCTGATCATACGTGTGCAAGAAGGTCTGACTCTACCTGGAGTAACTGAAGGGGAGAACAGCAGGAATCACAAGGACTGTGGAAGATGAACATTTGATGACATCAGAAGATCTTGGTTTCTTTAGGCTAGTAAAGCTAGTAGAGGATGGACAGGGGCCACTGCTGTAAATACAACAGGGGAAAACACCATTTAAAGAAAACTGATCTCAGCTTGAAGGTGTGAGCAACAGAAAAAAAGAAGTGTACCTTTGCTTTACTCTGAAAGCTGAAAACTGGAAGATAGCGCTAAATGCTTAAGATTTGGCTTCTACGTTGTCTTTTCAGTGGGAATAAACAAAGTAGAAAGCAACTAGCCAGCCCATAACTGTGAAATATGGAGTTCAGTAAGATCGCGTGGAGATCTGGAGATCTTCCAGGCTTTCTTTCCAAACTACCTGTCTGCTGAGTCATTGTCTTTCAAGATGTGTGTTCAGTTCTGAATTGTTCTGATTCCCTGTTGTTTGAAGCACAGAACTTTACTTGATCAAGTAAATTCATGGTAAATGGTTCTATATTGAGGGATCAATTGTGGTTAAGTATTTGCCAACGCTTCCTATTTTTTGCCTCCGTTTATTCAGCTACTTATTACTAGTTCTATCCTTATACTGCCTTATCTCTTTGCAGAGTCTTAATATCATTTTGCTTTTTAAAATTCATTGTAAAGTAAAATGCTAAAAGACAAACACATGTTACTTCTACTTGTTCATTACAGAAAAAGAAAAAATTATTTCCAGTTGTTAAAGCTAGATACTATCTAGACTGTATTCTTAAGATAATGACCACTCTTTTATTGTTGATATAGTAGTTGAACTTGGTTTATTCATGTGGCTTTTCTCTGTATTTTTGGTTTACTGCTGTTTTAAGAGAGCATTATTAACAAATCTTATTCTGTGATTGTCAATGTGAGATGCTGTCTTAGGGAAAAGCTTTGGCAATGCCCACAATATTGAATTAACAGTACCAGCAAGTGTACTTCTGAACTGGAACTTGATCATCTGCAGTGATAAACCAGTAGGAGGTTTGTGACACGGTTCTGGCCCATGTCAGTTGACTCTCCAAAAAAGCACATAGGCATGGTTAACAAGTTGGAATGGGCCACAGGAATCGTCTTCCCCACGGGTGTTTTGGATGCAACCATTCTGTTAGAGGCTAACAGTTTTCAAACACACAGAAGAGGGGAGTTGTGCCAGTTGGCCCTCGTTCCAGAGAATAGTCCTGGGCATATGCAATTTATTGTTGTAGAGTGAGGCTTTTGTATAGGCTAGTTAAAGGAAATTGGAAGACGAGATTACATGCTTCAGGGAGACCTGAGTGTCATTTGGTACTGATGTTTCCAGAAATACAGCTAGTATAATGATTTTTCCTTCTCTCACACTGTAGCTGCTGTACGAGCCATTTGGACCATGGACTTTGTCCTTCCTTCTGTACGGCTCTTTGTTAAATTGTGACCCTGTATTGCTTCCAAGGCACTCACCCAAGATCAGACAATTAGTCTTCATAATGATGAAGAGCAAACACTATTTGGAGTGGAAAAGCTACTTCATGAGCTAGCACCAGTGTTGATAGTTTTCACTTTTTGTTCCTGTTTTTTTCAGAACTTGTGAGGTGCAGGAAGGCTGGAGGCTAGGAACTGTCAGAACCAAATACTTGGAGAAATAACATTTATCTTCATTCTGTTTTCCTCAGTTAAATGTTGTATTGGTTGGGCAACAAGTAAGCAGGCAGCCTGCCTGGCCAGTGCTTGTGCTGTACTGGCACAGAGGATTGAGAGCGCTTCATGCTTCAGAGTTGTCAGGCTGACACTTTTCACCACTAAATGCAGTTCTAAATTAAAGTAAAAAAGAAAATTGGAATTTTGTTTCAGAGCTTTATCGTGTCATTCTGTTCCATCCCTTTACTTGTTCATTATCTAAGGTAGGGATCCACTCCCTTGGGAGGAGCATCCATTGAGTTATGAGCAAGTGCGATATTAGAGTTTCTTTGTGTATGCTTGTGTATGAGATCATTACACTTGCTGTTTTAAAGATATTCATCTCTGTAGAGCATAAAACCTTTGGCGGTAAAATTTGTAAATCCACGCAATGGGGTGTTAAGCACACAAATCCAATTAAATCCTTCAAACAGCTTTGAAAGCCTTTCCCAGAGGGTACAGAAATGGTTATTTGTGATTCTCTTGAACCGCCTTTTATGGCAGCTTGCTTAGAGTGTCTGTGACAAGTAGTCTTCTGGGGGTTTAGCGCGGCAAATGGTTCTTTAAACAAGCAAATGAATAAACGTGTAAGACTTGGTTTTATTCTTTAACAGATCCTACACAAATGGGAGGCCTGAGTATGCTGCTTTTAGCTGGGGAACATGCCCTGACTGCACAAGAGGTAAGGATCTCTCTTTTTTACATTACCAGAAGTTTTCAGTTTAAAAAGAGCTCTGAAGGGAAGTAATTGTCAGATGGGTGGCAGAACTTAACATACTTCATGGGTAACCTCAGGTGGAACTGAAATGTGAGTCCAGTGATGTGGGTCTTGTTCTCCAACCAGTCCAGGGTTTGATACCAGTTTGGTACTCACTCCATGGGTTGATGAATACATGATCCAACCAGGCAAGTCTGCCCCATGAGAGGATATTATCACAGATGGAAAAGATGAGATATAGCAACTGTAAACAAACAAGTGATTTGCAAGCTCTTTTGGTCAAGGAACTCATGTGCTTATGTTCTTGCGTAGTACAAGAACACAGCTTGGCACAAATAGCAGAATAAATATTTAATAATTTCCATATAGTCATTATTTATGCATTCTGAAACCATGCAAGTGCTAACAAATAATCAAAGTATTGCAGTCTATTCCTATTGACTCTTTGTGTCTAAAGGGAAGTTAGCAGTTTATTTGCTGTTGCAAACATTTCATTTTTATAGAAGACTGCAGTAAATAAGAGTTTCCTGCATATCTCCAGGAAGGCAGAGAGCTTTGGTCTTTCTTTAGACTGATTGTTATTCATGACCTTCTTTATGGGACGGTTTTGAAAACTGTTCATAAAGTACCTGATATATTGTGTAAAATAGGTAGTCATTTTCACTTATTACCTTTTGATTCAGTCTGTCTGTGATGGTTAGATACAGAGCAATTACTTTTTAGGCTTGTGTTACCCCAAATACAGTAAAATTCCCCAAAACTGCTTAGGCTTGGTTAACTGAATGGCACTTCTGGCTTGTCATCTGTGGGACAGACGAAAGAGGATTCATGAGATGTTCACGTCTGCACACCTTGACACCCTACAGCTGTATTTCCATGTTTACGCTTGAATAGTTTCACACTTAAACAGTGTTGGGAGGTTGGCAGAATAAGCTGGGAGATGGCATGACTAGCTAAAAAGAAAAGCTCATCAATTCATTGTAGAAATGGTAAGATTCTTCCCTCTTAAATGGGGAGACTTCAGCTGGATTTTATCAACGTGAGAGAGAGAGAATTCTTTGTCCTGAGGTAACTGTTGAAGTATCCCCCAGTAAAAAGGTTCAGCTGTTGCTTATCTGTGGAAAATATAGGTACTGTTTTCATATAAGACAATAAGCGTATGCAGGATCTAAAACTCTGACACTGGCATTGAAAAAGAAAAAAAAAAAAGTATCATTTTTTTAAAAGAACATTCTAAATGAAATCACGTAGTCTTCATTTGTATTAAAATGTGCGTGTCCATTAAAAAAAAAAGTGTATATAGGGTTCTTCAATTGGGGAATTGCCATAATGGAGATTATTTAGTTTAACTGTCAGTGTATGTATTATAATGCAGGCTTTGGGTGGCCTTGTAACCATATGTTTTAAGATACTGTTAACATCTTAAAAGTTGTTGATATAAAGGAGAGGAGCACTGTCACACAGTTTGTTCAGGACTTCAGAAAAGATTAGGAGAAGAATACTTAGCTAATAGCTCTTCTAATTCCAAGTAAATTGATTTAACACCCACTGATATATGTATATATTTTTTCTGAAGCGTGTGTTAAATGGATGTAAAGGGGTTTTTCAAATCAGTTGTTTAAAGTTGGAGTTGTCAGTTCTCCAGATACCAGGTAACAAAGTGAGCATACACAAGCAAAACAAAGTGAAAGAGGCACAATAGTGATGCTTACAGAAGTGCTTTGATGATTTAGTTATCATCTTTACATGCTGGCTATGTTTCTATATCCATCTTTTTTTTTCAATAGACAAGAAGATTTTTCATCTAATAAGAGAATTCATTATCATATGGTGGATTTCCAAACAGAGGCTTAGAGCTATTATTAAATGGTAGGTGAGGGAAGTTAAAAACCTTAGCAACAGCAAATACAAGATGGGCACAAGCAATTTTTGCCTGGCATTTGAGTCCTTTTACCAGTTAAGCAAAACTGTGATGCATATACAAGCACATTTTGCTTAACACGGGAATAAAAATGCTTAACAGGCTTGTTCGTATTACTCTCATTACTGGAGAGAAAGCCTCATCCTGTTACTTTATTGCAGCTGTTTTATTTGCAGAAAACCTGAAACTCTGTGAGGAGTACTCCTTGCTTTAAAGCTCGCCTCCCTTCCCTGCCCACGAGGTCCGTTGCTTGCCTTACAGCAGCATCTAGTGGCCGCTATAGTTACTTCCCAGAAAATGCTGAATGTGTAGCACTGTGCAAGACCTGACTCTTGTACCGGTTTCCCCTTGCTGCTGCATATCAGGACCATATTAAAACCTTGCATCAGTCAGTGTGGAAGACGATCTGTTTTCACTCATTTTAGAGCAGGCAGGCTTTGGTAACCACAAGGGACTGTGGGCTCATGGTGGCAGCATCCTAATGGCTTCCCCCTTGCTGCTGCAGGGTGGTTGTGCAGTGTGTTGTGCTGGTCTGCCCAGGTCTTTACAGAGTGTCATGGCTGAGGCTGTAAATTAGAAACAGATGTCTTCAGTGCAGTGGAGGATGAGCAAGTAGGAGGAAAGTGAAGAAGAGATGATGAAAAATTGAGGACGTTTTATTACTGCAGGAAAGAAAAGCAGTACAATGGTGCTACTTGTACAGCTGTTCCCTCCAGTAATTATTGTAATACTTGAGTTACATTTGATCTGGCAGTAGGTATGTGTGTCTCCAGAAGTCCTGGAAATGATCGATTTCCCCCAAGAGTGTAGGAGCAATAGCTGGGTAAAAATGACATCCTCAACTTAATGCTACTGTTAAATGAAGGCAGCAGCGCTGTCTTAAGATATCAGAAATTAATAGCAAAACCATGATTGTTCTAACCACAAAATGGTTTTAGAATTGCTGACTGACAAGGCACCAAACAATCTATCCTTCAAGCACAAAGCAGTAGGAAATGGGGCCTCACTCATTGCACAGCACGCTGTTCCCATCTTGTGACATGAAGAAATTGTGCCTGTCCCAGCATGTGCCCTCAGACTGTGCTCCTGGGGTAGAATCGCAGAATGTCCTGACTAGGAAGGGGCTAACAGGGATCACCGAGTCCAACCCCTGGCTCCACACAGGACCACCCAACATTCAAACCTTGTGTCTGAGAGCGTTGTCTAAATACTTACTGAATTCCAGCAGGCTTGGGGCCACATTCAGTAAATAGAATGGGAGCATTGTTGCTATGTGGTTTTGCGGCAGGGGAAAAAAACAAGTTCAGCTGCGTACCTCAGCAAATTGTCATGTGGCATCATTCTCCTGCGTTTGGATCCAGTGTTCTGGGAGTTAGTACTGCTGGCAGATTCCTGAAGCAAAACGTTCTGCTGCTGCTGTTATGCTCAAGCATCTGGAGCAGACAGCAGTATGAGCAGCAGTACAAGCTGTAGGCCTGGTTACCCTTTGGTGCTTGGTTCCTGCAGCAACAGATGCACTTGCTAGCTGAACTGGGTATTCACCAATACCTGCTACTGACATATATGCTCTGATAACAAAGAAGATAAATACCACATTCTTTTTGAAATATTTCAAGTCAGTTGGAATTTCATGAAAAATTAAAAATCACTGGGGGAAAAAAATTCCACCCTGTTACTCAATTTTCCGAAAATCCCACAAAGCCTCCCTCCTTTCTGCTGTTTCCTGTAAGTTGTTCTGCATACTCTATTTTATATTAGCAGTACATTAACTAATGAGACTCACATATTGTAAGTCTTTTATACTCAAATGCATCACTTGATATTCAAGACAATTATTTTATTGAAGGATGCTAGATTGATAATTTTCAGTACTATGAATAAGGTCTGTATGAATTCTTATATGGCTGTTGTGTTGTGATTTCTTTTTATTTTCATTTTTTGGAGCAGTCTCTTGTCTGAATTTTGATATTGGAAAGTACAATGCTTTCTTGCAATACTCCTCAAAAGCACCTCTAAACAGATATCCATTTATGTAAGTTATTTAAGCAGTTCTAGGCTTGTGGTGCCCTTAATTACTTATTTCATGCTGTGAAGTGATTAGCAATTATTTCTGTCACTTAGCAACACTCAGCCATTTGAAAAACTTTTTTTAGCTTCTAAGTAATTAGTGGAAGTGTAAATTGAAGAGATAGTGGCATGGATTGCATCTTGAATACAAGATAGCTGTGTATGCAGCCCAAAACAATCAGTGTTTTGTTGCATATAACTTGCAGAATTTGGAGTAACAGGAAGTAAAAGAACAAAACCAAAAACCCAGTCCCTGGTATTTTTGTGCTATTTCTTATGTGATTGTCAAACACTTTAGTATAGGTACTGAGCTGTTTTCACCTTTTAATTTGATTTAGCTGGTCCAGGAGTGTGAAACATGACATTGTCCATCTTTTCTTAAACAGCTCTTCATGTTACTACTGCCTGCCATTTCATTTTGCCTCCAGTTGTTCTTAGCTTGAGAGAAACACCAGTGAGGTCTTAATCTCCACACTCCTTGTTTCAGGTTTCCTCAAATACTTGCCAATCTGATGTGACTGATTCTACGGAAGTGTGTCAGAAGTCGTCGTTGTTTCAGTTTGCAGAGGTGAGTTTCTTTAAAAAAGGGATTGTTTTTTTTCCCAGTGTTTTCTTTCAAGAGGTATCTGGTGTTCAGCTGAAAGAGAAATCAAAAAAACTGACTGAAATTCATGGTAGTATTTCTTCCTTCTTTTGGGGGTTACAGTTATTGGATCGCATGTCAGGTAGATGCGTCTGATTTGAAGTGCAGATGTGTTCAGGAACACAGCTGAAACCCTAGTGTAATAATGGAGCTGTGGTTTAAGCAGTGATGTGGAGATCTCATTCCTGCACTTGTGTCGACAGACTCCAGTTGATACCTACGTTTGGATGTTATATTATGTCATCTAGCCAGGTCAGATGGGACCTTGGGCAGCCTGATCTGGTACTTGATCCAGCGATTAGCAACCCTGCCTGTGGCAGGGAGGTTGGAACCTGATGATCTTTGAGGTTCCTTGAGTCCCATAGAAACCATTCTATGATTCTTTGTGACTGCCTTATTCACCAGCTCTATCAAAAATAATTGTAGGTTTGGAACTTCCAAAATTTTCTTCTATAACCACAAAACAGCTCTGTGTGCTTCTACAACATTGCTATTAACGTATTTCTAGGAATTGCTATACAGTGCCACTGAGATGAGTTTTTTGCTTTTAAATATACCCTACTTCATTCAAACTTTAGCGGATTTAATTGGCATAAATATCACAGGGTTGCAAAGAATCCAGGCCCTTTGTAAGCATCACTTGCTTGCTTACATCTTTTCAACTTCTGAAATGATCTTAATCCAGTGACGTAAATATTTAGCTAAAGCACTATTGATTAGACAGGATGCTAGACAGTATTTGAGTGTCTGTGGGGAAAAAGAAAATTGTCACAGGAGGGGCTTCATTTTGTTATTTGGTTTCACACCAGCCACAAATCTCACTGCCTTGTCTATATTATTCATCTCTTCATATACTTTCATATTTCTCTCTAGATGTCATCACTTATAGAGCAGGTAGATGCCAATCCTTGCATGCATAAACTGATTTTAGTTTTAACATTACCTCACAAGACCTTGAGTTCTAACTTAAAAGCTGAGACTTTTAAAATGTAGTAGAGGTAGATTAATGCACTGAACCTTTATTTCTGATTAAAGGCTAGTGTGAAATATAAAATCTGCCATTAGGTTCCTAAAGAACTTTGTGGCTTTTCTTGTTAGCAAGAGGGGAATGCCTGATTCACCATCAATTAAAAACAATTTTTAGAAGCTCCTTAAAGTTGATAAATTCCAGTGTTAATTATGAAAATAATAAAAAATCCAGTGAGATACTTCTGATTACTTACCCTGTCAGTTGAACAACATGGTATTTTGTATGGTTCGTTTTGATAACGGTCTGTTTCTTCAGTGTTGCTGTAAAGTCTTGCAACCAATAAGACAAATACAAGTCCAAATACTGAGTTCATTTTACAGTGCTTAAACAAAAAAAGTGCCAGAATCATGACTGTACAGAGGAACTGTGCTGTGTTGCAAGATACGCTCTTGCTAAGGGCTTGTGAACTCTGACTTTGCTTAACCCATCAAAGAATTTCAGTGAATGCAAGGAAATAAGCTCACCTGCACTGCTGAAGCTTGCAGTTCAGAAGTAGTTCACTGATATTCAGTAACTAGAAATGCATATTAGTGAGTTTATTTTTCGTGGATTTTAAACTGTTTGAAGTGAGGCTGCACACATTTGGTATGCAGCAAGTATGTGTATTAGCAGCAAAATAAACATTACTTGTGCCTAGATGTACGATTAATTTGAAGTGCTGTTTGCAACAAAAAGAAGTGACACAAGCTAGAAAAGGTAAAAATAAATATTTTTTTTTTAAATGCAGCTTCCTTAGTTATTGGGATAGATCTGTTATCTCTTCTAAAAGTATGTGTATGTGTTGTGCTTCTGCCCTCACTTATCTTCCGCACAAAGTAGCAATTTGTGCTCTATCAGCACCACCATTCTGTGCCTGGGTCTTTAACTGAATAGTGAAATATAGTACAGTGTCAAGTTCCTGTTATTAACTCCCTTTTAACACATCAGTGGGCAAAAACAAGCCCCTCAGAAAGGTTCTAGTCTGTTTAGTTGGTCCTAGGAAAGATTTCCATTGTTAAAAACGATTCAGGATCACCATTTACATGTCTGCTGGGAAAGCAGATAGTGTTTGCTTGTTGAAGTTTATATGTTGAAGTTTGATAATGAAACTGAAGAGCTAAATAATTTAAAAATTATTTTCCTCACAGATCTCTTCAAGCACATCACAGCCAGGAGTTCCAGGAGCTGTAAAACAAACGGAAGAGTCTGCGTTATTTCAGTTTGCTGAGGTATGATAGCTAAAACATGGAAGGACAGGCTCTGAGGAGGCATGGAGCCAATAAGAGTTGTCACTGAAGGTTAAGCAGCTTAGGGATATTGAAAAAAATAAGACCTTCTGAAGTGACACGATGCACTGCTCGGTGAAGAAGTTGCAGTAGTGGAAAACGATAGCTGCCCTAGACATAGGAATCCTCTGAAAAATAGGCTTGCAGGTCAAAGTCTGCTCATAACAGCTGCAAGGATATGTAGCAGCGTTGTTAGGTGGTGACCTCTAAGTTTGTAAACTACCCTTCAGTATGTAAGCTATCCTCCTTCCTTCCTGTGTTGAAAATTTAGAGTTCTTATAGGTGGCTTTTAGAAGTTTCTTCACCGATGTGTTTACTGTTCCTCTATAAACTAATTTCTCACACATTCTCTTTTTCTCCATTTGGGGGAGTCTGATACTGCTCACAGAATCTCTTAAACTAAAGGCATACTCAGTGTGTGTGTAAAGGAACTACTATTGGAGCTAGTACTATTCTGCAGGAACATTATGGGATGAAAAGATGCCCTGTTGATTATTCCATGGGGTTACAGAGGCTTGACTACAAACAACAGACTTCCTTCTCTTAGATATTAATCTAATTGTATATATTGTATTTTTAGCTTGGCTAGGATGATTTATTAGGCCTTGACTTATTCCTTAAAAATTCTAATTACAAAAAAAAAAAGAAAATTGTGATTCAGGTGCCATGAAATAACTGAATAGAAGCAATCCTATAAAATATACAGTAGCGTCTGTAGTTGTAAAGAAGCTTCTGTATGTGCTACTTTTTTTTTTTTTTTTAAGTTGCAGGTTAAACTGGAAAGTTCTACCAAGGAAAGTTGGTGGAATTTAGCAGGTGAAGCCAAGAAAGTAAAAGATCTAAACTACAGAACATTCTTGTGAATTTTTTTTTGACAAGACTTGCACAAGTAAATTTGCTAAGTTAGTTTCAAAAATCTTGGCCAGCATACATTTCAGTTAAACAGCAATTTTAGTTATATGTGAAGTTGAGCAGAATATGATATCCTTCCAGCATAGAATCACAGAATGACTCTATAGAGACCTTTAAGATCATCTAGTTCCAATCCTCTACTATAGGCAGGGTCACCTCCCTCTAGACCAGGTTGCTCAAAGTCCCACGAGTGCAGCATTTTCAAACATTTCATGAAACCTGACTCACAGCACCTTCAGAGCTTCACAGAATCTAAAATCAGTTCTCTCCTAAATGATGAAACAACAGAACATCAAACCTGAAAACTGTCTTAAGAATGTGGAAGTGTATTGGATCTCATACCCCACTATGCTAAGGCAACTTGCTTGTCACACTGGAGTACGCGTATGAATCATCAAATATTGGGGAAAAAGTTACTTAGATTTTGGAGAGGACAATTTTAAAGTCAGGACATATCTTTTTTCCTGTTAAAAATCCTGAAATGTTACTGTAGTCTGGGGGAAGTTGTATTTTCTTGGCTATTTTTCAGTGTCTAGAACTACCCATCGTCCCAAAATAAACTTTATTTCAAGGTTATTCCTCATATGTTTCACTGTCGTTATAAAACCTCAGTGGCAGTGACTAACTTTGTGTTTTATCTAAAGTAACAGAGAAATGATTTTAAGATTGCCACTTGATTTTCATTTGCTTTGTTCCAGGGGAAAATACTATGCATGCATGATAAAGAACCTCTTTAAGCTGCTTTTTTTTTTTTTTTTTTTTTTTTTTTTTTTGTAATTATTCTAGCTATTAAAGCTGCTTGTGCTCTTTCAGTTACAAAGACTTTAAAGTTATAAAGACTTATAAAGACCTCACCCATTTGCACAGGGTGTCTTTGTCAAGTCTGGCAAAAATCCCATTCCTTTTTGAGCCACTTCTTACTGGGTCTTGTCAATATGAATGCATTACTGCATTTAGTAAACTAAATTATGGTAAGCAATTTGCAATAGATTGCAGTCAGCAGTTTACGGTGCTACAAAAGAAAAAGAGGGAGAGAAAGTAGTTATATAGCCAGTGGCCAAGTAGACCTGTGAAGAAATGTGAATTGTGCTTGTGGTGCCTGGAGACTTCTGGCAGCCATCCCAACTCATTTTTGGTTCTGACTGGGCGTTCTTCATATGTTTCCTTTCTCTTTACTGCTTTGCAGCAGGGTGAGTGAAAATGTTTCTTTGTGAAGACGGTGATCCCATTAAGTAGATTTGTCTTACTTAATTTGTCTTAAATGTACTCCTTGAGTAGAGGTGTCCAAGTCTGCTGTCACTCAGAAATGGCTCATTATATGCTGATGTAATATAGAATTCTTTCTTTAGAACCTCAATCAGCCTGGCTTTCTGTCCCACGTGTGCTGTAGTCTTCAATTAAAGCTGATAAGGATACAATTAATGAGACATGCCCTGTGTTGACTTGCTGCAACAGCTGATCAGAATCATGGCAGTGATACTTTGCTGGATCCTCTGAGTGTGCATGCAGCAATTGCAGTGGTCTTCCAAGATAACACGATGTCCTCATAAGTTGTTACTTGCTTGTTTGTTTTTAATTTTGGTGTGTGGCCAAGTTACGTTCTTGGCTTTTTCTCTCTCCTCTGATCTTGCAAATACTTGGTCCTTCTTTTTTTTCTTCTCACTGCTACCTTTGTGGAAAGCCAGTATGTAGGCCAGTTATTTCTCAGTAGTGGGTTGTGCTACTTTGCATGACGGTCGTTTGCAAGCTGCCTGCTCACATGGGCTGCTTGCTGTTGTTCTCCTTGCTGTGTGAGGGAAGCAGAGCAGATGGGGTCCCTTGCTCTCTTGGTCTTACATGGATGTGTGTTTGGCAAATGCAAACAGATGGTGAGGACTGCTCTGCAGAAAAGAGACACTAGTACCTCTTAGGCTTACTTACATAAAGTTTTATCATTTACTAACCATAGATAAAGCTTCCAGAGAGTAACAGCAGTAAAGCTGCTGGTTTAACCATCTTAAGCAAAATGAAGCTGAAAACCCAAACTCTTCGCTTACAGCTGCTCTTCAGAAGCTTTCCTCTAGGATGATTAACTGAAGTACATACAATCGTATCCAGCATTCAGTAGAGTAGAATTCTCCTTGCTAGTCCAACAGTTTATCATTGTTAAAGAACAAACGTAAGCTTGAGGATGGTTTTTTCCTTGCTGCGTTCTCACATACTCACTTTTAGTAGACTTGATGGCAACCAAGCTGTAGTCTTCTATGGTAAAGTCATTATTTAAAATAAATATACTTGATGTTTGTCTATGAACTGCAATCATTAAATATCTTTATTGAAATGAAATGGCTGGGAGGTGGAGAGATGAGTGAAAAACTGACACATGCATCCTGTGCAAACTACAATGTAATCCAGGAGCTAAAATATCACCTGCATGGTTCAAGGTATAGTAAGTAACTGGATCATAATGGTCCCTAAGTTACGCCTCAGCATAAGAAGGAGCTATTTGTGATTGTGGTACTGCAGGTACTGATTACTCTGATTAAAAAAGGAAGATAGTGTTTAGGCCCAGAATGAGCTATGTAATCCCTTGGAGACCTGATTGATCAGCTGCACTCTTCTGTCACTTCGCCAGGAACTTTGGCAGAACAGGTTCTAAGTAGGTCTCTTTCTTTCTTTTCTTTCTGCTTGTTGTCTTGCTGATGAAGGTTTTTGTGTGTTGTGTTTTTTTTTTTTTCTTAAGAAGAATTTTGCATCCCTCTTTCCTAATTGGTACTGCAAGGTTCTCACATTTTGTTGAGTGCCCAACCCATTGTCAAAACTAATTTTTTTCCTCTTTTCTCACATTGTGCATCAGAAGGCAAAATATGCCTGCATATTCTCAGGTTGCACTTTAATGTGTGAGCATTCCTTTTCTACCATTCATACTGTGCTGAAGAAACCATTAAGAACTGAGAATGTATTACAGTAGAAAGAGGAAAATGTAAAGCTCTCTTCCCATGAGGTGCAGGGTACAAGGAGTCTTGGGATGTTAAGTGTGTTCACTGAGCTGCACGAAGGGAGAAATAGGATTTTGAATTAGTTTAGTTTAATACTAAAATAATAATGCATGGTCAGACATTACTCAACATATCTTTAGTAGCTGGCAGTTAAGAAAAAAAAATCAGAATTTTTCAGAATTATTTTTTTCAAATAATTAATCTCCTTGACCATGGGAAAGCTGTTCAAATAATCCAGTTATTAGCAACAACAAACTCAAATGCCAAGAGGCTACTTTGATAATTTTTCCATCCAAAAGGTCATGATCATATATGTATATTTTTATAATGAGGCAGATGTCAAAGAAACACTCGTGATCTTGCCCCTATCTAAAAGTTTTCCAGGACTTCCACCCCAAGCACTACTATGTAATGCCATGCCAGACAAAATAAAATACAAGAAATAATGGATAATTGTTGTGTTGGTGAACTCGTAATACTGTGCCTGGAAGCAGGTCAGAACAGTTTGGCAGCAAAAGCAACTCTGAAATGCAGTGAGAATTATTTAGCAAGCACTTGTTCTAGCACAGCAACATCTGTATAGAAAGCTGATCTCCAAATGTAAAGATATTCTTTCCTAAAGAAAGGAGGTGAAATGAGCATCCAGTGCCTGTGAAAACAAATAATCTTCCTCTATATCTGACCAAATAATGCCTGGGCTTTACAGTAGAATTTTTTTGAACACTGAGCACCACAGTTCATGTTTTTTAAGTATGTTTTGTTCAATTGGAGAGGCATAAAACACACAGTGTGATCAGAATATTATTGGTGCTTGTGTTCTTCTAACTTCTAAATGCCTGTTATGTGTTTTTTGAATGAGATTTCTAGTTTCAAGTAGAGCCATTTGCCAGAACGATCTAAAAGTGACAGATTTAACTAATTCTTTCTTCACTATTTTTCTTGCTTCCTTCTTTTCTTTCCTGATTAACACTGAAATATTTTCTCCTCTGTTCATTTAAAACCTAGATTTCATCAAATACTTCCCAGCTGTCAAGTCCTGAGCCAGTAAAGCACTGTGGGAAGTCGGCACTCTTCCAGTTGGCAGAGGTAAAATTTATACCCATTAACAGCACAATGAGAAGATGTGTGGTTTTCCCCCCTCAGAATATGAGTTGTACAAGGCTTGCTCTAACATTACATTCAGTATTTCCAGAGACATAACTCAGTAAATAATCAAATAGTAAGAGAGTTAGGCAGTTGTAGTGGGCCTGGGGAACCTAGTTCTTCTTTATGCATTTGTAAATGTGCATCTTTTATTGGACACCGTACAGAAGTTCTATCTCCTTTCAGGAATATTAACCTTATTACTGTAATAAAAACTAACCCCAGCACAATAGCAATGACAAGACAATTACATTATTTTTTAATGAAGAGGTGAATACTGGGATTCAGAATGTGAAGTTTTATTTTAGAGCCTGGAAGGTGTATTGCTGAACTGGGGACCCAATAGTAAGAGAAGAAAAGTAAACTTTGAGATCATCCAGGAATCTGTATGAAGGCTTGGACGTTGAAGTAGTATGCTGAATTATGAAATTTACAGTGTCAGTAGAAATTAAGAATACAAGGCAAGGTCTCCCAGGATCCTAGAAAATTTCTAAGAGTTTTCATTGTAACCTTGTGGAGGTCTCCTTTTTCACATGGATAAATCAAACTTTTGAGGCTTGGCCTATAAATATATGCTGCCAATGAAAATTATATGCTGCTTTCCAAGTGAGTAAGAGAGGTTCCTACCACCTTACTCATCTACTTTTTGTTGTTTCCAAAATTTCCTTCAGTGAGGAAAGTGGTTCTTTGGATCTTTTCTAGCAGTGTCCATGCATATGTTCTTGCTGCTGAGGCTAATTCCTCTCGGAGGAAAAAAAGATTGGAAGCCCTGAAAGAAAACGCCATGCTCTGAGCCTGCATAGATGAGTATTTCATGCCTTGCAAGGATGGTAATGCTACTAGGAAGATTAACTTTGAGGACTTACACGAGTAGAAGAAAATTTACCTTACCCTAGAGGCAGTCTCTGGCAGGAATACTGTTTGTTCATGTGTGCTGCAACATTATCAGCAGTGCCAACGCAAGGGTCATTACCCTTAGCTACCATCAGTGACTGCTGCAGCCCTGGGACAGAAAAAAGGCTCGTAACACCAAATTGGAGATGCTAGAAGTTTCAGAGGTGTGCTTTGTTATGAGACAGAAGTACTGTTCTGTAGTACGGCTGTTGAGTTCAGCCTGACTTTGGAAGTCACCATTCAGAGGTGCCATATGACTATGAAGACCCAAGTTCAGGGAAGTGCAGAAGCCTGTCCACAGGAGTGCAGGGTTAGTGCTGCATTTCATGGAAGTGAAGCTTGAGTGTGGCAGTGTGGCTTCAGCGTGTTGGACAGGTTTCCATGGTCTCTGTCTTGACTATTGTGCAGATGGATTCCTACAAGGCTATGTAAATATACAGAATTAGTGTTAAAGGCTCTGATTTGAAATGACAAAGGCATGTTTAGCACATCTTCCTTATCTCTAGTTCTTACAGTAGATTAGAACTGCTGATTTTATTCTTTTTTTTGTTTGTTTGTTGGTTGGTTTTTGGAGATATCTATGATGCTGGATTGTAATTGGACAAATAAAGTGAGATTCAGCTTAACTTTTCAGATAGCAATTTAGAACCTGGTTTGGAGTATCCCACAAAAACTAAGCTCACATCATTTCCAGGGCATCTTAAGTTTACAGGTTCATTTGGAAGACATTTGTGCTGTGCCACTGTAACTCCAAACCACAGATGCTGTGCACTGGAGGGGGCTGGACTGCTGTCTGCATGCTGCTTGCATGGCAGAGATCCTGAGCGTGGGAGCCTGTCAGCTTTGGCATGCCACACTGCTCTGCTTCTCCTACATCTCTGTTATGTGGATTCGCCAATTTTATCTTATTTATTCCCCACTCTGTGCCTTCATTTTCTGTATTTCACAGATGGTGATAAAATGTAAAAGCAGATGTAATACTTTCCTAAAGATTTCTAAGAATTTCAAAGCTCTAAAAGCAGTTGGAGCAGCCATGCTGCAGCCTGAAGCCTGACAGGCTGCTACTAATCTACTAATCAGCTCTGCTAGGCCTTGTGCAGTGTCTGAATGCACAGACACTTTGTCTTCAGCCTTCAGTGCAGGGGGAAGGCAGTGGCTGAGTGCATGTCACTTCCAGGAGGCAAGGAGATCTCTCCTGTTCTGCAGCGTGTTTGCAGCACTAACAATGCCTGGCTGTAAGCAGCCATCAGAGACTTGTGCTGGAATCATCAGATTTTGGTAGGCATAGAGATAGCATTCTTAACTTTTTTTGTTCTTTCCTGTATGGCAGTGATGAGTGTGATTTCTGCAAAGCAGGTTTTTGGGCGCATGTTGGTTGGAAACAGTAAAAGCTGAGCTGATAGAGGTACTGGAATGAAAGCAAATGCTTTAGTTCCTCAGTTCCTAGAATTCAAGTTCTTTCCAAGGGAGCAATTGTAAGAAACTTGCAAGGTTGATCAAAGATTTTAGAACATATCCTTAACAGTAAACATTTTCTTCTTCATACTGATGTTCTGAGACTGATGCTTTGATAAATTCAGAAAATTATTTCTTTACTTCTAGCTGAAAATTGTTGCAAAACACTAAAATGCTGAAGTAGAATACAATCTAATAGAAGTAGAAAGTTTCTTTGAGAATAACTGGATATCTACTTGCCAAACAGTTTTCCATATGCTGAAGAGTAATCATGAAAGGTTATCAAAACCTTGAGAGCTCCTACATGACTTTGGTTTCATAGCAAATCTGTTATATGAATCCTGAAGGACACTTCCAGGCAGTGCCATGTCCTGATAGAACTAAGCTTCTTAAACTGCAACAGTGAAAGAAATTTGCAAACCAATGTCTAACAAAGCTTTCAGAAGAGTCAACTGGATTGTGTGCTTGTATAGGTTGATGCAGTGCCCTGGAGTCTATTTACACCTGAGAAAGTATGTACTTCACTTCATCCTCCAGAGAGAATCCTGTCAAGAAGATCCCCAAATCTGGAAATAGCTTTTGATGTCCATGGTGTTTTCTACTGGTGCAGTGTAGTAGTGAGGTTTTATTTGTAACAGCACACACACGTCTACGCTTCTTTTTGATATGCTTATGTAATCTTATGAATGCATTTTGTCAAGGGGAAGGAAATAATCCTTTCAAATGATGTGATAAACATAGGAGAATTATTCTGGAGAAATAATGTTTTTCTTTATTCTTCTCCTTTGTTTGTTTATTTGTTTGTTTTAGATTTCTTCAAGTACATCCCATTCAGGTCCTGATTTAACAAAGCAGTGTGGAACATCAGCATTATTTCAACTGGCAGAGGTAATATTAAAGTACTGATGACTAATTACTACAGGTGCAGTGGGACAGAGAAGTTAATGGTGTCCCATTATGATAGCCCAAGTCTGGAAGGCAGTACATTGCCACAGTTACAATTACACTGTAGCTTATGGAAGTTTTCACAGCTTGGGTGTAAAATGCTAAAATTACTCCAGATTAGCGATCAGTTTGGAGACTTCTAAGTGTCCATGTTGCAGTTGATGAGAAGTACCAATCCCTGATAGTAAAGGGGTTATCCAATCTCCATTTGAATCACTTCAATCCCTCCTTTTAGGGATTAGGGTTTTGACTAGATAGGTTTGGTTGGCGGGGGATCAGAATGGAGTTCAAAGGAAGGGCTGGGCTGGTCTGTTGTTCAAACTGCATTGTCATTAAAAATACCTTTTAAAAGGCATTAGCTACTTTTGTTATTTTTTGCCTTTCATACATACTACTGTAAGAATGAGCCGGCCAATAACTTTTCTCAAAGCTCTGTTATAATTCTCTTAGCAACTTCTCCATCTAAGACCAGTTAAAACCAATGCCTTGTTACAGGAATGTTGTATTTCTTTTGTTGTATTTCTTTTGTTGTTTTTTTTTTAATATATGTTCCTAATCTTAAAGACTGAATTGTGAGATCTTAGATCTTACAAAACAAAAAACACCTTTTTGTAGCTACATATATAGCCTTCTGTACTATTGGTTGCTGCAGGAGAAGCAAAGGTAGAAAAGAAAAAAAAATCCATTGGTGATAGAGTGTGTTTAATTGACAAAGTATCATTAATGTTCAATGAGTAGCATTTGTAAGATTGATCTTTGGCTTCTGGAAATCACAGACTGGTTTACATCATAGTGCAGTGAAGCCACAGAGGTACACTGGTGTCAGAGCCCAGCTCAGCAAAGTTATGGGATTCTCACTGGTGTAATCCAACCTGCTTATGAACAGACAGTGAGCTGCCAATTCTTCAGTGTTTCTAATGGTCAGCCTAGTTTGACTTGTGCCACATCAAGGATTTCTACCCAATATGATACAGAAGGAATTTTGGAAACTTATTTCAGAGTCCTATCATTGCTGATGTATGTTTCTGTAAGTGATCTTTTTACTTTGCTGAGAAATTTACTGAGAAATTCAAAATCGATCCAAGGAAAACCCAGTGACGTGCAGAGTACATCCATTGTGACCACATGGCCTGTGGGCTGAGCTACAGGATAGCGACACTGATGTCTGGTTCAAAGCAAGTCTCTGCCATCTCATTTCACTCCATGTGGCTGTTCAATTGACAGTTGTTTTAGAAACAAATAGAACTTGAAATTCAGGTTAGGAAGCCGTAAGAGAGACTGTAAGAAGAAAGCCTGCCTTCCCATGGACGACTGCTTGACGCTGTGAAGTGCTAGCCTCTGTAGCAGTGTCAGCATGACTTACAAATGATCCGAAACTGAATGCATCTTCCAAGTAATTGCTGAAGGAACATGGCAGTTTGAGAGACCTTGTTATAGCTCTTATTTTGAATATCACTATTCTTCAGACAGGATGAGCTGTTTTGGTTTCCATTAACATTATCTCCAGGAGGAGATAACCATAGCAACTATTACTGCTTTGCAGTTCTTTGCAGGATAGGGCTGTGGCATTAGAATAAAAATTTGGAAGGCTTTTATAGCATCTTCCAAATCATTTCTCTTTGAAATAAAGGAAAATGATTGCTGAGATTTGGTCAATTTTTTTATTCACTTTTGGAGGCCATTTGGAAAGTGGAGGAGAGAATTGTTTGTGGAGATATTTGGAAACTGCAAGGGGTATGGATTTGAGATTCCATACAGCTTGACTGTGGTGACAGTAAGATACTGTATTGTTCCATTGCACTTGAGATGTTCTGAAAAATCGGTCTAGCAGTGTCTTTCCAGGATATTGGAATGTACTTGAAGGATGGAAACACAACTTAGAATATTATGTTTTTGTAGGGCTTTTTGTTGTTGTTGTTATTGTCTTTTACAGCAATAGAATCCACTAGTCTTATTTCATTTGCTTCATTAGAACTTTGGCATTTTTTCAGTATTGTTCTTCAGCATAGTTTGCTTTCATAAATTAGGATCCTAGAGAGATTTCCTGTGTAGCACTCCTGATAATACAGGTAAGTAATGTTAACAGTTGATGTTTATTTCATAGTAACTATTTTTAACTTGCTTTAGATGTGCCTTGCTTCAGAAGGGGTAAAAGTGAAAGAACCTGGGAAAATAAAAGTGGAAGTATCAGAAGATGTGACAAGGGAAGTTCCAGAAATGGAAGTGGAAGAACTGGAGAAGACAACAATAAAAGACTCCTGTACAAGAAAAATGGAACAATCAGAGACATTGAAAAACTGGGATGAGACAAAAGCTGAGGAATTAGAAACTGTAAAATGCAGTGATTTTACTGGTCTTCTAAAGGATAGCAATCCTTTTGAGAGAAATGATAACACAAAGGATTACGTGTGCCGTTCTCCAGAGCTTTCATTAGCTGAAATGAGTATCCTTGGGCTAGGCAAGCCAGAAAAGTTGAAGAAGAAGAAGAAGAAAAATAAGTTGGACCGGCACACGAATGAAAAATCCACCCCTAAAAAGCCTTGTAAAAAGAGGCAGTCCTCCGAGTCGGACATTGAGAGTGTAATGTATACAATTGAAGCTGTTGCAAAAGGAGATTGGGGTGCTGAGAGACTTGAAGAAACTCCACGCAAAAAAGCCCGCCCATCCTCAAATGTGAAGGGAAGCATGTTGGATACAAAATCACCAAAGAAAAAAGTGAAATCTAAAGAGAAGAAGACATCAAAGGAGAAATCCATGGAGACCACCAAAGAATCGAAGCCTCCTGATTTCCTTAGTATTACAGCCAACAAGGAAGTACCCTGTGAGGCTTCTGATAGCATTAAAGTGGAACCACTGACCCCAACAGAGGAGGTGGTGCCCCAGAGCTTACCAGAACAGGTCAAAACAGAGGACAGTGACTGTGTTAAAAAAATAGAAACCTGTGGCTCCAGGAAATCAGAGAGATCTTGCAAAGGTGCTCTTTATAAAACTCTGGTGTCAGAGGGCATGCTTACGTCTCTGCGTGCTAACGTGGACAGAGGTGGGTGGTTTTAACTGCTTCATTTACAGCATGAACCACACAAGTCTGCTGTGGTATGGGAGGAAGAGCAACGGTTTATGTTAAACTGGTGTTTAAGAAGTGTGTGATGGGGTTTCTGTGTCTGATTGCCTGAAATACTGGGGCTTGGGGGCTTCATGGTCCATGGCAGATCATCTTGAGTCCTGCAGTCTGCATTCCTATTTATCTGTGCTTCTTTGGTTTTGTCTTTTGTGATCTGAGATTTAGCTTTTTGACTGAAGGCTTGTCCAGTTGATTCATCAGCCTGCTGATAGTAGTCTGTAGGATCTGTGTTACATATAACCCTGACCAATTGCTTTCTGTGTAAATGTCTCTTGAAGCTGTGGCTCTGAGCACAGTTACCCATCCTACAAAAGGCAGAAATGTTGTGCTTTCCCTTTGGTTGTTAGTTTTGCTGTAGGTGGTGAACAAGAAAACTTAGCCTTGAGAAGGATACATTTGAGACTGAAAGCTTCCAGAAATTTTCATGAGATATACTGAAATATATTTTTCGAAATAGTAGATTTAAATGGGTAATTATTCAAAGTGGAAATGAAAAAAGGTGCTTGTAATTTAGGTAAGTTTGTTACTGTAAATCTATTCATTTCTTTGTCTTCCTTCATACCTCAGAGGATCCTGATTTTGAAGGTAGTATATATGTAAAGGAGGGGAAAAAAAAAAGTTGCCAACAAGTTGATTATCTTGTTCGGGCAGGGGAAGAAGGATTGTTTTGCAACTCCTTGAGAAAGGTCGGACATCATAAATTGCATTGCTGAATGGATATGCGAGTTTCTTCTGAGCTCACCTTAGCACTTTTTTCTAAGATGAGAAACAATTTTCTGCCTTCATCCCAGGAAAAAGAAGCTCAGGAAAAGGCAACTCCTCAGATCATGAAGGATGCTGGAATGAAGAAAACTGGGCTTTTTCCCAAAGTGGGACAAGCGGGAACAAAAAACTGAAAAGGCCTAAGCCAAAGGAAGAATTTGTTTTTGGGTAAGTTGCAGTTTTACACTGTTCAAAGTTTTAACAAGGTCAGCCTGATACCTTAAGAGTGAGTCTTCCCCATAGCAGTTAGTGAATATCTAACACTCAAACATTTTAAACTACATAATCAGGATGAGATAGAATTCTTGAAAATTGCCAACCTCTTTGGTTGAGTTATACTCTAGATTCCTGCTGGTTATATATATCCCAAAGTAATTTATCTGAGATCTTTCCTGGTTTGCACAAATGTAAACAAATTTGAATGACATTATTTGCTCACTTGCTTAAGAAAAAAACAACAAAATACAATATTTACCTGCTCAGGAGATGAAGAGGGTTCATGATATTTTCAAAGCGCTTTATAAACAATATTTGAAGATTTGAGTAGGTGTTCAAGCAGCGAAAACAGAATTAGACTAGAAAAAAAGAGATTTCTTTGCCCACTTGAAATTGCTGATGGAAGAAAACTAAGTATCATTCTAATATTTGTAAATGATTATGATAGACACACCATTTTGCCTCCATAGAGGCAAGATGTATATACAGTAAAGGAATTAAGTATACCGGAAGAATAATTAATGATTTCAAATGCATTGAAATTTAGTACAGCTGCATAGAATTAATCTTCTACTATTTGAATAGTAATTTTTGTAAGAGTACTAACAGACTTATTTAACTGCAGGCATAGCTGTAAAATCTGTTTGGCCATTCATACTAACTTGCATATTCTTGAAGACTTCCAATTATCTAAATTCAAAGGGTGAAAATGAATTTAAAAAGGATTAGATTTTCCATGCTTCATGCTTAAAACTATAGTGTGTTTCTTTTGTGCCAGCCTTTTTTATGCCCTTTTTATAACCTGTTCTATAGGAAATATAGCTCACATATGCAGCTCACTGTGCAGCAAAGATATTAAATTGGTGAAAGTCTCCAAGCGTTATCTTGTTTGGAGCAAAACTAGTGGTACACCTTGTATTTCTAGTGCAGTGCATATAAACTTTGTAATTGTCCAGATTTTAAATAAAAAATTGGGAAATTTTAAGTCATGTTATGGCATGAAAACCAAGTGGATTTCCTAGCCAAAAAAAAAAAAAAAAAAAGTAGTTTCAAATAACTTATTCAAGGTTGTTATGAAAACTATGTACCAATTCATTTGACAGATACTGTTCTACCATAGTTATCTGGCTGGGTGGGAAAAATACATATTTACAGATGTTGGTTCCTGATTTAGCCATGCCATTAATGAATATGAGCTCTGTAAAGGCAGAATTTGTGGAGCCAAAGTGCTGAAGAAGGTATTGGTTGTCCTTGTTCCTTACTCTGCCTGATCTTCTGTCTACTCAAAGAGCTGTTTTTACTTTTACTCACCCTTCTTAAACCTTTTTGCTCCCTTCATCACCTTTCAGCATTAGGGCATCTGTCTGTTGGGTTTTCTTGCTGCCATTGGAATTGCTCCTTTTTCCCCTTACTTTTCTGTGTCCTCTTAGCTTCTTCTCCATTGGTAGCTGCCTACGTTTGCCCTGGCGATGCATGCCAGGTGTGCTTCGTCTGTGTACAGCTGAGTAGAGGTCAAACAAAGAATCATTTTGTGTACCAAAGGTTTCAGAATGGATCATGGATCCAGCAACTGGATCATGTTTCAAGAAAAACAGAAAGAATTAATGTTTATTATGGCACTTCCAAGTGTATGGAGTCTGATGGCCATCTCTTCCAACAGTCATAGAATCACAGACTCCCAGTCATGCCAACATCTACTGAGTTTTAGTTTTCCATAGCAAATAGCTATGTAGGGTTCCTGAAGCTATGAGCTAATTGTATTTCTCATCTCCCAACAAATAAAATAAGAAGAGAGGAAATATAATCCCCCAGAAGAATTACCAGGCTAATTGTAATCCTGAAGTACAACATTCTATAATTATTTTTTATTTCCCCAAAAGATTGGATCACTTGCCTTTTTTTTTTTTTTTTTAAGATAGTGTGACATTTTTGCTCTAGTTTGAATTGTTATTTCCATTCCAGCGTGATGTGACTTCTTTATGTGAAATTGTCCAGATTGTTTATCTATTGGTTTTGCCTTTTTTCCTTCCCCTCATAGAACAGACAAATCTAATTTACAAATCTGTGCAGCTAAATGTCACCAGCATGACACTGATTTTTATTTTTACATTCTTTGCATCTATTAAAACTTACTTTGTACTTAATTACAAATGCAGAAGCTGGATTGTATGTACATATCCCAAAGTTGGATTAATATAGTTTGTTTACAGTATGTCTGCATCTTTTCCTTCTCAATATATGTACATGTATATGTGTGTATGCACTCGTATTCATAATATATCTTTTCTCTAGAAATGCGGTTACATTTAATTTGATTGGTTTTGTTTCCCCTTTAGCTTAGCAAAGTTGGAAGAAGAATTTGAAAAGAAATTCAACAGCCTCCCTCAATACAGTCCTATTACCTTTGACAGGAAAAATTCATCTGTTCCAAGGAAAAAGAGAAAGGTTGGAAGCGGCTCATCTGAACAACCAAAATCCAACAAAGGTAAATTAGTGTGCACTACGTTCTTAATAACAACGCTTTGACAAGCTCAGAAATGTATGTCTTCTTACCTTACTGTTATACATGTGGAAAGTGTGTAGTCAAAACATTTTTCTAGCAATGAAGCTACTAGGTTCTCACCTGGATTAAATTCTAAGCTGCAGTCTGAACTTCTGATTTCCATGCTGAGTAGAGCTTGTTGGAGCTTGTACACAAAATAATTTCCTCATAGCAAACAAATTTAACAAAAATGGGAATATTTGTTAGAAAAGTGGATTTGTCAGGTTTTCTCAGGGGAAAATAGGGAGAAAATGGCAGAATATCAAAAAGTTATTTTGAAGTTTTTCAGAGAATAATTCTAAGCAGTTTTGCATTTAAGAGTGTTTTTAGGCTCTATAAATTAAAACGTAGGATACCAGAAGTGTCTGAATAAAATGTGATATTTTTTTTTCCCCTCAGGATCTTAACTCTCCATTGTCAGTTTGTTCTGATAAAAATGTTTGCTTTTGCTCAGTTCCATTGCTTGGGGTTATAAAGGAAGAAAAACTCACGACACATCTGGCTGTTTTATTTAAAGACAACCTGTCACAGAGGTAGTAGAGAAGTGAATATATGTTACAGAAGATGCTTTTTTGACTCTGGCATCACAAAATCATGCTCTGCTACTATGATAGTATCATAAACTGGCTGATTTTCAAATCCAGTATGTGTATTTTAGCCAGGCAACCTTGGATTAGGTCTTTGGTTTTTGAATGCTTCAAAAATAATTACATTAGAATATGCAAGATTGAGCAGCTGTTCTTTTCTAGCACATGTCAGTTTTTGTATTGACTTTCGTATATATATAATTAGATATGGAACAGTCAGACTTTTGCAGATTTAGACTTGTGCTAGTACCAACTGAGTTCTGGCTCTTTTTTTTTTATGGGATATATTTGACAGAACTTCTTTAATATGCACGAATGATTTATTATTATTTTTTTAATACAATGGTCTGTTAAGCAGCATCTTTTGAGAACAAGATGGTCTGTAAATTGAAGCTGTAATAGCAGCTGCTTGTATTTCTTGCTATAGTATTTACCTCTTCAGGTGTCTGTATGTCCTTAAACAAACAAACAAACAAACAAAACAGGTCAAGAGTTGTTTTTGTTTTTTTTTTTAAATTGCATGATACAGTGTCATTCCAGCCAGGTAACCTAGAACTGGAATTTTGCTTTTTTGCTAGGTTCCTAAGAGCAAACTGGTTTTTATTCTTGTTTGCATCACTATTACAAAGCTTAGGAAGATTTTTAGCCATGTCTCAAAGGAAGGTCAGAAGCATAATTGCAAGCAGGTCACAATCCTGATACAAGTAGTTTTGGCACAGCCCTAAGGAAGAGGCTGTGGAACATTTGCCTGTAGCTGGCAATAAGGGTTCATAAAGCTAAACCAGCTGACTCTGTGCTGAAGAAGATGGCCAGCAGTCATGTGAACTTTTCCACCAACAGAGCTGTTGGGGTTGCAACAAGCAGCGCCAGGGGCAGGAATATCTGATGGTGACACCAGTGCTTATGCAGTGAACGTATAACCACAGGCCTGAAATAAATCCAGACTGAGGTATCACTATCTGTACCCAATTTCAGTGAATGCTGAATTCACAACAGCTAGCTGAGAGAGCTGGCAGCTGGCATCAGTCATTCCAGCTCCCTAGAGAGTGAGGCTCAGCTCCCAAAAGCTAATTGAAAAACTTCCCAACATATCCTTTTTTTTTTTCTCTTTTGGAAAAGAAAAATAAAAATTGCTAAAATTATAGGCATTCCATGGTAATGGGTTGATTTTTAATTTGTTTTCTTCCAGATTTTTTAGAATTCTTAAAATTAGCATGCAAGCTGTGTATTTGAAGCAACCTGAACAAAACTGCATTGAACCAAGCTTACTAGATCTATAGGGAAATGGTTCCAGCTGTGCCGAAAACCCATTAAGCTGAATTCCCAAATTAATTTGTTTCTTCTGACAGACTGTTCAGCCTAGACACGCTGTTGGCTTGCTTACAAACTCTGAGTCCAAAGACACCTAGAGAATTCTGGCCTCCAGTGGTGTTATGCATACAGGTCTACATACTAGGCTTCTGCTGAAGGGAAGCATGGGAAGCAAACGTGTTGTGCAAAATGATGGAGACTGCTTTGGAATGGTTCTGAGTTTTTTTGAAGTACCATGTTTATACCATTAGAATTCAGCAAAAGCAGAAGTGGCTTTTTTTTTTTTTTTTTTTTTTTTTTTGCAGTGTGATGAGCATGAACTGTTAAGAGGCATACAACTCTATGGGTGTAACTTTGTGTGGGGACACAGGAGACCTTAACTTTGCTGTTCTCTGTCTTGTCCTCTTGTGTGGAGTTGTCTCTGCTGCTTATGCTTTCTTGGAGTTGTTTTTGGTGTAAGGCTTTAAAAGAGGCATCCATTACAAATGCAGTGAACATATATGAGTGAGGCCTCCTATGTATGTACTTTTCCAACATCACATAATGATCATTAGGGGTAGGTTTAGCAAGTGATCTTTAAAATTGAGCCCAGCTTTTCCTGAATGCGCATTGGCAGAATGATAAACTTCCCATGCGTTTTCAGTCTTCAGATAAGTGTATTTTCTGCAGACTTTGGATTAGTGCTTACTAAATATGGAAAGTAGATCAGAGTGATGCATGCTGAAACTTCCACAGTATGTATGGAAAATAAAAAATAGAGGATTTTTTTTTGGTTTGGAGGTGGGACGTTTGTTTCATAACTAGGTTTCTATGCCTTAAAGCAAAACAAAAAAACATATTCTACCCTGCCTGTCAAGGGTGCCACATTTGATTTTCTGTCAAATGTGATTAAACTATAGTTACAGGAAGCTAAATAAGGAGATAAGCCTGGTTTGTTGCCTGACCCAAACAGACAGGATTGTCGGGACTTTTTTTTATTCTAAAGCAGAAAATGAGTAGAGCAGTGTCCACTGAACTCTTCCACTGTCTTGTCATGCCCAGTCCTCACTTCAGGTAGTTCTTTCGATATAAAAACACTTACAGAACCCTGTGACATAACTGTTTTAATTCCGTGTGTAAAGTGAGTGCTGAATTTTCTTAAATGAAAGAGGTTTTTCTTTTCCCCAGAAGTTTCTAATTTGTCCAGATTCTGCTCCCATCATGTTAGCAGGAATCTTCAGTGGGAGTAGAACTGAATAAGCCACGACCTTTCTGCAAATCCCACTCCGATTGTTTGGTACCAGGGTTGTGCACCTACTATAGTAATGTAACAAAATGGCTGAAAAATACAGCCATGCTGAATTTGTACAGATGGCCTGCTCCAACATTCACTGGATCTGTGACTGATTTTATTCTTCTCCTTTCCAATGGCATATGTGCCAAAACATCCCACCGCACAGAAGCCATCAGTCTACAGTGAGTCACTAATACAGTTATTTGCAAAAATGAGCAGCAGGCATAGTCATTATTTCTGTCGTGCTCTGTGAATAAATGCTCACTTACACACTAAGCACTTCACTAAAACTCTTGTTTTGGGAAGGCAAGTAGAGGAAAGCATATTATACTGTTATTTATGAAAGGAATTTTCTGCTTTTTTTTTTTTTTTTTTTATGGACTCTAGGACTAGAAATAAAGCATCAACTTAAAAAAAACTTCTCTGTGGCATTCCTTTCAAACTTAGCTTGGGATTTTGGAGACTCAGTTTTGAGCATTAGGATGTCTGGAGATGACATGCTGTAAAATTTCAAAGGTAACAAAAATACAAGGTTGTTGTCCTGAGAGGTTTCAAAATGCAGAGGTTAATATTTGGTGAGCTCAGTTCTTCTAGGAGCTGTGGAGAATGTGGGAGTTGCACCAACCCAGTGGTCTCATAGGGTGAGGCAAGGACCTCAGCAGGAGGGTCTCTTTGTCTCTCCAGCTGAGGTCTGTATTTGGCAGTTCATTGATTCGTTCCTTAATCTAAGCAAAGGATTGGATGTGGCAGTTTTCAAAGAACTGAACAGTCTGTTAAGCAATTGCTAGACAATTTGTACATGTAAATGTGGAAGTAACTGTAGACATTATTTCACCAGAAAAAGGCAAAAAGGGTAGGATATTGGAAATTTCTTTACAAGAAGATGTCTTCTCTTTTCATCCCAATGAGATCAATGTTTTGAGTTTTCTATGTGGGAACAGAATGCCATGTGCAAGTGTCATGTGTTGCAAAATGCCCTTCATGTTGCAGGTGTAAGCTTATCAGAAATGTTTCTTGGATAGCACAGGAGAAATTAAAGACAGTTTTCCTTCTTCATGAAATGGCTGTTGTTTTCTGGAGAGTTTTTAATCTCATTTGTGCTCCTCAGTTGCTGACAGTCTATGGGATTGATTTAAACAGTTTGTAAGAGTGCAGGCTGAGCTATAGAAGTGGAGACTAATGTGATACTGTGTAAAGTGTTGCCAGTACCAAACCCCTGCAAAAATAAAAAACAAACCAAAGAAACACAACTGTAGTAACAGAAATGTCCTGAGAGTCCGTATCTAGTGGAACGAACTGTCAGAAGGATTTGTCTCTGTTTGAATGAAGTGCTAGACGTCAGCCTTCAGAAAAGACCATTTTTTTTCACTTACACTTTACCTTAACCTCGCTGAGATTTTTTGTGTGCCTTATTTTGCATTTTTGCTGCTTTGGCAGTATATTGCTCATTCAACTCTGTGATACTCAGGAACCTATTACAGAATTCACAGAAACAGTCAAATAAGTTTGAGTGAATACAGCCTATTCTACCAAGCCCTCTAGCATTCTCTCTATGTCTTCTAATAGTGCTATTAAAATTCAAGCCAATGCTGTCTAAGATGGTGCCTGGAATACTTTTTGCTTTGGTTTGTTCTTTGATGTCTGGGTATTTCATGATATTATTTATCTTTTCCCAAATTTTGATTTCTGTAGTAGCTTTATTGTTTTTGATTACGTTTTTTGGTTTTGTTTTGTTTTTAAAGGCTGTTGTTATCCACAAAGCCAAAGTATAA